TTGGGCAAAAATAATGTTATTGTTGCTTCTAAAACATAAAAATAATTTACTTTGTAAAAATGTTATATAATATGGCTATCAATTAAAACAAGGGTAAATTCGTAAAAACGAACATTCCAAACAACTCAAACTAGATATTGGTTTTATTTTATAGTTTTTAACAATTTATAACTTATAATACGAAACAATACATCAAAACATAATAACAAAAACGAATAAATTAAAACATCGAAAATTTGAATAAATAGTCCATTTTTTGGACACCATAATATGAAATTTGATTTCTACTCAGTTAGTCGTTAATTTTTGTTGGGAATATTCAAATTATAAACTCCAATTGAATAAACTTAAATTACCATTATAATCAGTATGTTTTAACATAATAATAATACAAAAACACACAGAAATATCAACTTGAATTATTATAATCGAAAAAACGTTTCGATTTCGAAATTATTATAACAACACAAATTGCAATACAATAAATATAAACAAAATACAAAAACACGTTATAAACATATCATATTAATAAATTTATAAAATATAAATTAATTTGATGATAACAAACGGTTAACGAGCCTGGGTTTTTCAAATGGTCGATAATTTAATCACACCAATATAAAATCTAAATAATTTGTTGGAATGAAAGAATTAAGTTGTTTGGGGTTCTGGTGTATTAACTTATTTAAAATAATAATAATTTATAATAAAATTATCCATAATTAATCGACTGGTTTAATTATATGATAATAATTATTAAAAATAGTTTCACATTTAAAAAATAAATTATAATTTATTGTTGTTTTATTATAAAATTTAGCTATTAATATGTTGATGTTAATTTATAATACACGTTAATTAACCATTTCACTTGTTTGTTGTTTATTATATTTTAATTAAATTTATACTATAATAATAGTTCATTGTTTGATTTATTTAATGTGAATTGTGAATATTTTTTCATATCATTCCACGATCAAAATAGCCAGTGATCATACAACCAACATGTCAAGTATTTACTAAACGGTTTCTATTTCACAGATGTTGTTATGAAATACATAATTATATTGTTTATTCATTTTGTTTTTAAACCATTTTTTGTGTCACGGTGTGACGGGTTAGATTCTTTCTCTAAATTTTTTAATCGAAAAATCAACTACTTTCATAAAACATATACAAGACATTGAGTAATGATTTTTCAAATAACAAATCATTGTGAAAGCAACTAAGGAATACATTTTATACATCAGAATGAAATTATATTGTTAAGTGATTATTTGGTAATTAAAATTAAAAGAACTATTTTTTATTTATAATTTTTAATCTTTAACGACAATACGTTATTAAGCAAAACTTTATTGTTAAAATGTGTTCATATTTTGGCAGAGATATCGACTGTTCAATAAAATTATATTTCATAAATTGATGTAACGAATAAATCAATATCACTTATTGGTACATTTATTCACATTTTAAAAATATCAAAACACATTTTTACTTGATAAAATAATTTTTAGATATGTGAAACTATAATTTAGAATTTGTCTTTTTGTAATAACAAAAAATTTTAAAACGTTTTGTTTTTCAATTAGAAAAGGAAAAAACAAAACCCTCATAAATAATATATAAAAAACCATTTTTCCTTTTAGCACAATCTATTGACTTAGCCTCAAAAGATTTTGTAGAACAAAATTGTCGTTTTTCATTTTAACAGCCTCGAATAACAAAAAAATTAACCCAAAATGTTTTAAAACCCTTAATAACATTATTTTTGGACAATAACAATTCGCAGTAATATTTCACGCCGCAGTGATTTTTCACGGTACTCTATCTGAAAATACACAATGAATATAATAGGTTCTTTGAAAAGTTTTTATTTTTTATAAAGACTATTATTTACAATAATTTTATATGTTTACATTAATTATCATTGACGTGTTCATGTATTTTTTTGCAATTTGTATTTCATTTTCAACTCAGAACCAATTGTTTTTATTGTTTTATGAATAAAAACATATTTATTTGTTTTAAAAAATGTTATTGCATTTTACCAGTATTATTATTTTGCCATTTTTTACCTTTTTGTCATGAAATTTTATATTATTTTTTCATTTTTTCACAATTTATTTGTTTTTTAGTTCATGATTTGAACTCGTTATTCCATTTTCATTTTACTATAATTGAACTACACTGTATAATATAATTTTTTTCAAAAAAACAAAAACACTGCTCTTTTTAACAGTATTGGTTTGTTGGGAATAAGGTACGTCGGCGAGTTAACATATAATAAAGTTGTTAATATTTTTATATGTTTACTATAATAATAATAATATGAATAGTTTATTTATGAGTTCAGTTAAATATAAACATACTTAATTTACACAATATATTTGTAAATTAATATTTATGATTGTATCACTAAATTTTATAATCATTAAATTCATAAATAAAAAGAAGATTTGATTAAATATTACAAACAATAATTTTATTTTTTAAAAATAATTGGTATAGTTAATTCCAAATGTTTTTTTACTAAATTAATCAACTTGAACTGTTTTAATGTTTTTTATTATTTATTTATAATCATTTCATTCGGTATCAAATTATTACATTATATTTTTGTATAAATTATTAGTTTGTGAAACAAATGGATAGATTACTTTACTGTATATTTATTAATTAAAAAAGCTAAACAAAGACCTTTACCAATTAACCAATTTAAACATGAACATTACGAAGTTGATTGAATCAGCTTATAATCTTTCATTTGATATACATAGAAATAATGGTTTATTATAAGGTGTACAATAATTAAAATTTACTATATAAATTAAAATTGTTTTCAAATCTTAATAACTATGTTAATACAAATGTTATTATTACTAACACTATTTACAACGTTTTCTCTTAGTCAAACGTGCCCATTTCAGTACTTTATCACAACATCACAAAATTTAACAACGAGTTGTTACTTCACTTTTAATTTGGCTGTTGGTAGCTTGGACACTACACGAAGAGTTGTGTTCTCTTTGTTACAAAATTCACAATTGACAGGTGGGAATACAAGTGAATTAAATATCTTTGGCAATTCATCAATAAATATGTTTCAGAAGTCACTCATATATTTGACTTACACTTTAATTGTTGATGGAAATGTCACCTTTGATATGAAAACAGATTCTCGGATTTTTACCTCTTCTGATATTTACATTATTCGATATGCTAAGGCTGAAATCAATGGAATTAACAATGTAATTTCTTCAGACAATTTATATGTTTATCATAACACCATTTTAGTGCTAAAAGGTAAAATACATTTAGAGTAAAATAATATGACTTTGATATATCAAAATGCAACTTTTCATATGACGGAAAGTACTGTTTTATTATCAAAAAATGGTATTGAATGCTCTGGAAATGCAGTACTCTTGTTATCAGAAAACAGTAATATGAAAACTCCAAGTAACATATTTGTAAAAGACAACTCAACTGTGAATATCAGAAACAATTCAATGTTAGAAGCCTCAAATACACTATTTTTAAATGATAACAGTAAAATGGGTATGAAAGGATACTCCAAAATATTAAATACAAATCAAATAAAAATTTCGAGAAATTCAAGTTTTTTAATGACTGAAAATTCGGAAATTACTATTAAAACTCAACTGGAACTAAATGGCACTTTTGATATGAATAACAACTCAAAATTAAAAACTAAAATAATGAATATTTCTGGGTCTTTAAATTTTGATACTAACACGAATAAAGGGGTTCAAATAGTGTATGCAGATTCTTTATATTGTCAAATTGGAAAAATAAACAATGAAAAAGATTCTATTATATCACTTAATGATATTAAATTTGTTGGCGACTGTAAAAATAACATAATAACTCGAAGTATCAGAGACTTTCCTTTGTTCATGTTTAATAATGTCACAGCTGTGTTTTTATATACTCCTTCGACCAATTTTGATTTGTTTTATTCTAAAAAGGAATACATTGGTGCTCTCCCATATAACACCAATATACTATTAAACAATAAATTGCTGAGATTTGGCTAATCGAAAAAGATCTTTTGCCATTTGAGTAAGTTCATTAAAAATTTAAATGTTTCGATGTATGTAGAACCTTATTGTCCTTTATATAATACTGAAGAAGATTGGTACATTACTCCTCTCTATAACGTCACATCTTTTTCTGTTGATGTTTCTCTTGATGATATAAACAAAAACGAATATAATAACACTTCTAAAATTCAACTAAAAAGAAGTGATGATTTTTCTGATTAAAGTGTGACAATTGGAACTACACAAATTTCGTTTTATAAAACGAATAACAGTGTTGTTTCAATTACTTCAAATGAATTTATTGAAATAAAAACCAATTTATTGACTAAAACAGTC